CTGGTGCAGCTCAGTGGTTGAGATCACCTATGAACCAGGAAGTCACGGTTTCGATTCCTGGTCAGGGTACATGTCCGGATTGCTGGCTTAGACCCCAGTATGGGGCATGCAGGAGGCCACCGATCAATGATTCTCTCTCATCATTGTTTCTCTCTCTCTCTGCCTCTCCCTTCCTCTCTGAAATCAATAAAAATATATATTTTTTAAAAAGACTCAGGGTACATATGATTATAAACTATAGGTATCTGAAGAATTGCTCTTGATTCAAGAGACTGTACAGGATGCAGAATGCAGACTCATACATTAGGTGTTAAAATAGGACAACCAAATAACATGAGAGGTCTTAAGCAAGTCTGGGTATCATTTGAAGGTGATCTCCCATCCATGGAATTCTATCCATTCCACCCCAAAGCATAGCAGGGGTCCATGGGTTCAGTGTCCAGGCTCATTATTATGCCAGCCCTTCACAACTAGTCCATCAAATCAGGATTGAGTGGAAGTGAATTACTGTATTCAGGAGATGTGTAGTCATGGAAAAACTGTGGTCAGTTTTTCCTAACTGTGGTCATCCTACTTCTTATCACAGAATTCCTCAAGATTATACAGGACAAAGAAACCTTAACCACAAATTTTTGTCAGTGTGTTTTCAGAGGTCTCCGGCTCCAGTTTTAAGAGGAAGTATATCCCTTTAAGCCAGGGGTCCTCAAACTATGGCCCGTGGGCCACATGCAAATACAAATATTGTATTTGTCCCCATTTTGTTTTTTTACTTCAAAATAAGATATGTGCAGTGTGCATAGGAATTTGTTCATGGTTTTTTTTTAAACTATAGTCCAGCCCTCCAACAGTGTGAGGGACAGTGAACTGGCCCCCTGTTTAAAAAGTTTGAGGACCCCTGCTTTAAGCTATAATTCAATTCTAAGTACAAGGGTAAGTTCAGACTCTCAGATAATGGCAGGCAACTTCATGCCTGTCTTCTTGCTCTGATTACAACTCCTAAAAGTGCACCTCTTTGGAGGGCAGGCTATGCAGTGGTCTTCAGCACCTACTATTAATTCTTACGGCAGAATAATTACCCCCAGGCAAGGGTCCTCAAGGTATCCTGGACCCAATACCCAAGGTAACAGGGGAAGTTGGGAATTCAAATATGAACAGCTCCATCTCATTTACCAGCCCTTGCTCTAGACCAGAGGTGGGCAACCTTTTTGTGAGTGCGTGCCAAAACCAGCAAAATCTCTGACTCAAAATTCTTCTGCGTGCCAACCCTAAT